CCAATCAGAGGCCGTCGTGCTTTCTCCGAGGTGTGGAGGCGGTAGAAGTGAGCGCCATTTTTTCTTTCTTTATGCTTATGTGCCTGCTGCTGCCGATTCAGTGTGGTCTGTGGTGTTGCCTGTTGGTGCTCTGTGAACTGTATTGGCGTGCTGTCATCATGGCTTGCGCAAAGAGGCAAAATTTGCCGTTCGCCGAGAAACTCTAAATCATCAATCGGGTTGAGCGCGGTGAAAAAAAGTCCGACGTCGCCGCCGCGTACAAAATTCCAAGGAGCACCTTGAGTACTATCCTGAAGAACAAGGCAGACATCAGGGCCAAGTCGGACAAAAGGCTAGGTGCCCGTGGCGCCCGACGTGTGCGCGCTGCTGTGTACGAAGATGTTGAAGCGGCCGTTTACAAGTGGTTTGTGGACGTTCGGTCGCGAAACATCCAGGTGTCCGGCCCTATGACCGAGCAGAAAGCCAAGGACCTTGCTTTTCTGCTTGGCAGGAATGATTTCCAAGGCGGTTCAGGCTGGCTTCAGCGGTTCAAAGAACGGCACATTGTTGGCAAAGCTGTTACAGGTGAAAGCAGAGCGGCGAGCGTGGATGACCGGGGAGCTTTTCAGCAGATGGCTATCGTCGTGGAATGATGATTTGGTAGGCGAAAATCGCAAGATTTGCCTGCTCGTGGACGATTGTTCATCGCACCACTGCAGTACGACCTTCAGCAACATCGATCTGCGTTTTTTGCCCCCGAACACTACGTCTGTAGGCGTTATACGCGCAATGAAAGCCGGCTATCAGAAGCGCCTGCTGGAGAGGCTGCTGCAGAACCTTCGTGTCGTAAGGGAGCTTAAGATCCACTTGCTCGGAGCTATTTCTATGTTGAGTAGATCGTGGGTAGATGTCAAGAAGGAGACGATCCAGAACTGCTTTAGGCATGCTGGCTTCCGCATGCCTTGTGATGACACCCCGAATTCTGACAGCACTGAAGCCACCGCAGGTGTTTCCACCGAAGTTTGGAACGAGCTGGCAGAGTGGCCGGGTGCTATCGACGGATCGACATTCGACGAGTTCGTCAGTGCGCAGTGTTGAATAAAACTGCATACTCCTGCCTCTTCGGTAAGTACTTTACATGCCTGAATGACTCAAATTAGTGCATTTTTGGTATTTTTTTTATTTCCCCACGGCGCAGTGTTGGCGTGCACTGAACCGGACACTTGCAGCAAGCAGTGACACGTTGGAGTAAGTTGTATTTATGATGCGATTAGGTTTATCTTCCACGGAAACTGTAAACCCCGAATGCAGAGATGTTACTTGGTCATGTCTTCGACTTGACTTGAGTAAGTCGGTGCGAAGCAAGCAGTGGACTTGAAAACGACCAACTCGGCCTTCGCATTTCATAGATGCTCAGGCTGTCCTTCTTGGTCAAGTCAAGAATGACCTTCAATGCAGAAGCACGTTGCTCGCCTGTTATTGAGGTTAATAATGAAATGATGTTGTGTGCGTAAGGCACGTGTCAAACCGAAAAAAGTTCGTATATTTCAAAATACTTCTTTGCTCAAAGTGCTAAAAGCACATTTTTTTTTGTTTTACTGCTACCGAATGCCACATGATGCCCGCCGCGCTGCGACGCGCAGTGTTGCTTGCGGAAAGCGTCCTTTTTCACCTGGTTTTAGTGGTCACCCAAAGGGAGCGCGTTTCTCCAGCTGTTCATCATTCATTGTATTTTGCTGTCGAACACAGCTGGGTGTATATGCCCATCTCTGGGTCGCAACTGTTAACATAGCATAGTGATTTTAGGGACGAAGCTCCGTAAGGCGTGGGCTGTGCGTCCCCTGTATGTAGCCACCTCTAGTTTAGTTCTTGCAGTGTTCACTAGATGGCGGTACCGTCTCCTGTATGTAGCCACCTCTCGTTTAGTTCTTGTAGTGTTTACTAGATGGTGGTACTTGTAGCTGATGATGAAAAGATGCAAGATGTTATAAAATGGATAGCGGTACTTGTAGTTAATGAAAGATGCGAGATGTTATAAAATAGAAATGATGTCACATATGGCGCGTGTCATTGGTTGAAGGCAATCGTTCGATTTAGTGCGGCGACGTACGCTGGGGGGAGCGATGTAATAAAATCGAGTGGGCAAAATGTACAGAGGATTCATGGTTTACCAGGTTTACCTGCAGAGCTTCGCCCACTCATCATCATTCACTTCGTGGATATGGCGGCACTTTTTTTCGTCATACTCGCATTTCTATTCGCCTGGGGACATGCCTGTGGCGGGCTACGTTGTAGTTGTACCTGAATAAAAAAAAGCAACAAGTACTAGAAATGCAGTGTACAAGTCCCTGTGCACACCCATGCGGGTGTCCTAACATGACAAAAAAGCTAAATAAAATCGGAGATGCTAACGATTTGTCTACATTTATTGGGAAGAGAAAAAGTGTAGACGAGGATCGCGGGCTTCTGCGGCACTTTACTTTTTCTAGAGGGGAGGGGTTGTAATAGTAATATTTATCTACTTTTTATTTGGTGTCTGCATTGTCATTAGCAGGATTTACAGCAGAGAGCATATGTGTTATAAATTCAGGGTTTGGTATTATGAGGAATTCCATATAGGAGGGCCCCGGAAATTTCGACCCCTGGTGTTCATTATTGTGCATAGATACGAGACAATATAAGGCCATTTTGTCTCCACCAAAATGCGACCACCGGGGTGGACGGGGAGGGGGATACAAATTTGTTTTGCGTGTTAGTGAGGGGCAGGGGGAGGGCATGATTGCGGTCAGCCTCAGGATGTCTGCTGGAAGCTTTTTCAAGAACAATGAAAAGGGCACAGGCCTGCGTGGTGAATGAAGGGTTCATTGACCCTTTTGTATTGCATAGCTACGAGGAAATTCCAAAAAATTCTTCGTGTTTCTAGCAAAAAAACACGTTCTATAGCCAGTGGAGAAACCCCGAGTAGGAGCAGCTTTATTTTTTGATAAATTTTTGTAACTTTGTGCTGCAGATGTCTGGCATTTTTTTCAACCCCACACGGCTGCACCGAACGAGACAAAAATTTTTGAAATGTCTGCTAGGAGATGACTTTTGGGGAAAGCAAGGCTCACCGCCGCAGCGCGTCACTTTTCTGAGTGAAATCGTCGAGCCAAGGAGGAAGGAAAGGACTATTCGTTCAGAGATGTCGCAGCAAAGTATGCTATCGTCCCAAGAGACACCTCAACGCAGGGCGGCACCACGCTTCACCGAAGACGAAAAGACGGTGCTTGTCTCTCTCGTGAGAGAGTTGAAGCGTATCATCAAGTGCAAGAAAAATGATGCAGCATCGACAGTGGAAAAAAAAAAGGAAACATGGAAAGAAATTGCCAAGCGCTACAATTCCAATCATGAAATTACTCGGCACGACCGCCGGCAGCTCAAGAAGTGCTGGAAGAACCTTAAGCAAAAATGGAAAGAGGAAACTGCCAGAGAAAAGAGAGAGCGCCATAAAACTGATAAGCTGAACATGTTATGCATGACTGCCACACTTTTGATCTGCCACATGTTTTGTAGTGGTGTAGAAATGAGAGTGTTGAAAGCAAATAGTCATGACCATTAAATTTTGCAGTGCATGGCGAAAAAAATAACCACTCAAAATCGCATTTTATTCGAAGAACGGTCTTTAAATTGGCCTACAACATGCGTGATCAGTGCAAAGTGTTTTCAAGAAACCTATTTAGATGACTTTGTAGACAACTGACGTATTTTGGCTTTTTACGAAAAAGGCATATAAGCACACTAATGTTTGTTCTGTGCAATGTTTTGCTATTTTTTCCTTGAGATGAACCAAGTAAACCACATTGCACTCAACTTAGGAGAGAGGAACATCGGAACCGCAGTTTTCTTGTGTGTGTGTACAAGACATTTATCAAAACTTGCTTCATTCTGCATTGAAACTTTTTTTCTGATTAGGAAGGGGATCGGCGCCTTTCGCCATGGCTCCTATTTACGAATTGGTTGGGTCAGTTGCGGATCACATGGCGACAAAGGTGGAGAACGCCTTTGATTTTGATGCCACAAGGTACCAGCCCCCCGTCGCAAGTCTCCCCGTCTTGAGGCTGCTACAGCCCATGACTCATGGTCGAGGTGAAGCGGACTTCAATTTCCAAGGTATGGTGTGTTGCATTTTAAGGCGTAATGACGATCTCCTCAAAAATTTAATAATTTGTATTTCCCAGAAATGGCTCTTTTCTGCATGTAGTGGTGTACAAGTGTTTGCGTCATAGACAATACTCCTCTAGTACCATTATGCCATTTTTTCTCTTTTGCAGGCGATCTGTGGAAAGGTGCTACCCCTGTAGAGCCATCACAGCTGCCAACAGGCACAGATGCCGAGAAAGACAGCAGACTTACTTCTGATTGAAAAGTGAATACTGCTGCCGAAGGTTGTGAAAACAGCCACCAGGCCGCCGGAGCTGCTGGAAGTAGCACTTCTGCAGCAACTGTTGCTACTCAAGTATGCAGGACACCTGGGCCGGATGGCTGTTCTGGAAAAGACGCTGGCCGTGGAAAATGCAACTCGTGCGGAACTCCTTAAAGAAGAGCACACATACCGTGTCCGGCTTTTGCAGGAGGACTACGATTATATTATGCAGGAACGGGTCGAAAAAAAAGCATGAAAAGAAAGTGTGAGAGCTCGAGCTTTCAAGGCACAAAAATGAGCTTGAAAAGCAAAAAAATTGAGATTGAAATCCTACAGATTGAAAAAGAATTAAAAAATGAACAGATCTGCAGGCTGCAATGTAATGTGCCTCCTTTGTAAATAAATGGTGGGATCTCTCATAAAGTTATGAAACCATGTGAGTGTACATTTTTATGCATGAATGATAATCAGCGCAAATTCACGGGGACAAAGAGGACAAAAAAACACGACACGACACGAGTGTCGTGTTTTCTTGTCCTCTAGCCCAGCCCAGCTCTCAACCCTAATGATAATCAGATTGGCGTGTACAGCAGCACTAAAAAGAGGATGTAATTATTGCCTATGTGAAGCTCTTGCGTACGAGCAGGTCCCGCGCTTGATTTCCTGAACGGCTGTCGGCGAGGCGATCAACACGTGGCAGGTGCACTGTTCTCGTTGCCACTGTACTGAAGGAGCAAGGCTCTGGCGCCCGCTCTGGTTCCCCTAATAAGCAGGCCAACTTGTGGAGTGCAGCACAAGCTGTGATTATGTGCACGATGTTTTTGGCCTTGTGCTGCATTCCCATGTCCAGGCAAGGGAAACGCCTCTTCCACACGCCGAACGCCCTCTCAACTACGTTCCGAGTCTTTATTTGGGCTCTTTGGTACCTGGGCGAATGAAGCAATATTGTGCATCACCCCACAAGCGACTTGATTCTATGTCACACCACAAAACCATGCTCTGACTTTCTGTAACCATGCGCTGACACGTGAACTAACCTTCCCTTGGGTGCGTCAGCGGGGCCTGGCTCTGAAAATGGTGTGAATAAATATGGATGGCATGCGTATCCAGCGTCGCCCAACAGCACTCCGGGCACCCGGTTTTCTTCGTATAGCACCCGCAAGCGGGAGTTGTCAAAAATCCTGCTGTCATGAACAGAGCTGGGCCAGCCGGCAACAATGTCAAACTGGAGTTGTGGTCCAGCCACCGCCTGCAGCAAAGGAGCAGCATACCAATAATCATAAACAGGGCATTGTACAGTGTCTAACTCTTTGTGGTTTGGTATAAACTACAGGTGCAGCAGAAATGCATGTTGCGCGGAGTTACGGACCCCTAGAGTGTATTTTGATGAAAAAATAGAGACAGTAGTGTCCCTTCGAAAACCTTCATGAAACCTACCTTCCGGAGCAAAACCTCGAGTCCAGCAAAACACATCACGAAGGCGCGAGTGCCGGACCCCTCGAAGAATTGCTGCATTATTATTTCGGTTTATTTATTTCGCTAGTGCATGACAACCACGGCTGAACAGAAACACGTTGATTACTGTATCGAAAGAAATTTACGACCCGAGCATTGATCGAAAAAATACGAACGAACTAAACTGTTCAGGGACTTTCAAACTTCACTGCTTACCTGCACATTGAAGGAGAAATAGCTTTTGTGGTTGCGGAACACTTCGGCATTTTCAGCACCGGAGCTTTTAATCTGCACGTGCGTGCAGTCTATGCATCCCGTCACGCCAGGGAATTCGGCCACTTCATGGAAGTCCTGCGTAACTTGTTGAAATTCCGGCGGCTGCGGAAAGTGCACCAGTGATGATGATAATGATGTTTGATGTTTTGTGGCGCAAGGGTCATTTCACGGCCAAAGAGCGCCAGTTCATCTTACTAAAATAATGGACACTGATTGTGATAAGCGGCTGTATAAGGGCCATAAAATTCCTCGCGGTAAGGCGGCTAAGAACATACAAGTAATAAAATCAAGACCATGCAGTGAAAGGTGTGTGTGGTGTGAATAGATAAAAAAAGTTGGTGATAATAAAAAAACGATGGCGGATATGTATGGCATTAGCACAAGTGCCTCACTCGTTCATACCCTTGCGTCCAAGGGTTGTGAGGCAAGTGCTTTCTTCTGTAGCCACCGCAGCAAAAACCTCTCTGGAGAGGTCGTGCTACGGAATGCCCGGGTATATGATATGAAAACTATGAATTTCTTTTCAAAACGCTAACAATAATTTATGACTAAAAAGCGGTTCCCTACCGACGGACATTGCAGGGTGTAAAGGTATATGTTGTTGGTAAGGTAATGAAAAATGTTGTTTTCTTAGAGTTTCTAAGTGTTTCCACTGGATCAACATGTGAAGGACTGTTAATGCTTCACCACATCTGTCACACAATGGTGGATCGCCACCGGACAAAAGATATGTGTGTGTCGTGTATGTGTGTCCTATCCTGAATCTCGTTAGTATTACCTCTGTATGACGCGATTTTGACACGGGCAGGCAATGACCAAGGTATGGCTTATTAATGTGTAGTTTGTTTTGTGTGTGTGTATCCCACTTGCTCTGCCAGTAGTCCCTGAGGTTTCGTTTGAGAGACGGCTTAAGATCAAGGGGCGGGATCGATATGGGTGTAGTGGAACTGATTTCGTGGACGGATGCAGCAAGCTGATCCGCCATCACGTTGCCTTGGATCTCACGGTGCACTGGCACCCAGCACACTACAACGTGTTGTTTGAGTTTGTAAAGTGTGCACAAAATGGAGTAAAGTGAGACAAGGACTGGGTTTTTGTGTGTTTTAAGAGTGTGCAAAGCCGTTACCACACTAAGGGAGTCCGTATAAATTACTGCTTTTTGTATTTGTAATTGCTTGATGTGTTTAGCCGCCACAAGTATCGCATAAACTTCCGCTGTGAAGATACTTGTGCCTGGATGTAGAGGGCCAGCATCCGAAAAGGATGGGCCGACCGCAGCGTAGGACACAGAGGAGTTAGACTTGGAGGCATCTGTAAAGAACTCAGCACGTGTGTATTTGTGTTCAAGTTCCAGGAAGTATGTTCGGATATGGGCAATAGGCGCATGTTTTGTAACTTCTATAGTCTATAGTCTGCCATTGCCACGGTGGCGGGTATGCTACAGGAGCCATTAAACTGTGTTCAAGTAAGACTCCAGTTTCCTCAGCTAGACACTTCAGGCGAACTGAGAAGGGCTGCCTCATCGAAGGCCTGTTTTGAAACAGAATTGAGCTCGACAAATCATTAATAGTAGAGTGTGAGGGGTGCTTCTTGTCTGCTTTCACCTCAAAAACATAAACAAAGGACATGTAGGTTCTCTGCAGATGAAGCGACCACTCATTTGACTCAACATAAAGGCTTTCTATGGGGCTGTTGCGAAAAGCACCCGTAAAAAGGCGGATGCCCATACGGTGCACGGGGTCCAGCATCTTTAAAGCACTTTTAGTCGCAGACTGATAAGCAACGGCCCCAAAATCTAAGCGGGTGCGAATGAGGCTTCTATACAGGTTCATGAGATATTACCTGTCACTTTCCCACGTATTACGTGACAACACATTTAAAACATTCATGGCTTTTAAACATTTTCTTTTTAGATACTTGATGTGCGGTACGAAGGTCAACTTGTTGTCCAAGATTAATCCTAAGAATTTATGCTCCGCATTAAAGAACAGACGTTGACCGTTCAGTTCAATGTCGGGTTCTGAGTGCACGCCTCTCTTTCGGGAGAACAAGACACACGTGCTGTTTTTGTGGGTTCAGTCGGAATTCGTTTTCATCTGCCCATTTGGAGACCTTGTTTAAACCTATCTGAACCTGCCGCTCACACATTGCCAGATTGCAAGATCTAAAGTCAAGCTGGCCGTCATCGACATATGTACAATAAAACAAATTGCGAGGAATGGACAAGCGCAAGGAATTCATTTTGATGAGAAAAAGTGTGCAGCTAAGTACACCACCTTGTGGCACGCCTGTTTCCTGGACAAATGTTTGGGAGAGAACTGTGCCCACTCGGACACGGAATGTCCAGTTTGACAGGTAACTTTCGATTATGTGAAACATTCTTCCGCGCACACCAAGGTGGGACAGGTCTCTTCAAATTCCAAAACGCCATGTTGTATCATAAGCCTTTTCGATATCGAGGAATACAGAGAGAAAATATTGTTTATGGACGAAGGCGTCCCTGATCTGTGCCTCGATACGAACAAGGTGGTCTGTGGTGGATCTATTTTCTTGAAACCCGCACTGAATTGGTTCGAGCAAATTGTTTGTTTCAAGGAAATGTACAAGTCGGCAGTTAATCATTTTTTCGAAGACTTTGCACAAGCAGCTTGTAAGTGCAATAGGCCTATAACTCGAAGGTAAAGAAGGGTCCTTGCCCTCTTTCAAATGGGAATAATAATAGCCTCTTTCCAGGAGGTAGGGATATACCAGAAAGCCAGATAGCATTGTACAAACAAAGTAATGTTTTTCGTGTTTCGATTGGTAGGTTTTTTACATTTCATACACCACACGGTCTTGATACACCACAGGAGTTTAGAGACGTTCACAGCTCAGCTAGACGGAAAGCTTGGTTATATGCCTCGTATGTAGTGCATTTGTGTTCGAGTTTCTGCTTTTCTATTCTTGTTCTGTATTTTTGGAAAGTGTCAGTATAGTGGGATGAGCTGGACACCTGTTCGAAGTGTGCACCGAGGAAGTTTGCCTGATCTTCCAAGGTATCAGCCTGAGTGTTTACGAGTGGAAGTGTGTGTACTTGTTTTCCTGCTATCCTACCGACCATGTTGCAGACTTTAGCCTCCTGTGTGTATGAATTGATCCCTGACAAAGACTTCTGCCAGCTTTCTCTTCTGGCTTGCCGACGCGTTTTCCTGCCTTGAGACTTTATTTTCCTGAAGTAGTGCAGATTTTCCGCTGTCAGTGAGTTCCGAAGCAGCCTCCAAACTCTGTTTTGCTGTTTGCGCGCGTTTCGGCATTCAGAGTTCCACCATGGCACACGCCGTTTTCCAGGGTGTCCATTTGTTTGTGGGATGCATTTTGTTGCAGCATCAATCAAAAACGCTGTAAAGTAGTTGACAGCAACATCAATGTTCAAAGTACATATGTCATTCCAACCTAGATGAGCGATGGTATAAAACTGTTCCCAGTTGGCTCTGTTTATGAGCCACTTGGGAACACGTGGTGGACACTCAGTTACTGTAGTTGTGCTCAAAACTACGGGGAAGTGGTCACTACCGTACAGATTACTGACGAGTTTCCACTGGAGTAGAGGCACAAGAGATGGAGAAACTATGCTTAGGTCTATGGAGGAGTAGGTGTTATTAGCGAGATTATAATAGGTTGGTTTTTTTCGATTTAGGGGACACGCGCTCGACGAGAGAAGAAACTGTTCGATCAGTCGACCTCGCGCGTCATTCCGAGAGTCACCCCATAGCCTGCTATGCGCATTAAAGTCTCCAAGGAGAACATAAGGCTCCGGAAGTTCATCAGTTAAAGAGTGTAAATCACGTTTTTGCAGCTGATAGCTAGGAGGAATGTAAATAGTGCAGATTGTGATCAGTTTATCAGAAAGAACCGCTCGAACAGCCACTGCCTCCAGGGATGTTTGTAGTTGTGTGTGCATGCAATTCCTTGATTAACTATGATGGCAACACCTCCGGATGATGCCATAGAATCAACACGGTCCTTTCGGAAAATAACGTATTTACGAAGAAAATTTGTGTGTTTTGAATTAAGGTGTGTTTCTTGTATACACAGCACTTTTGGTGAGTTTTAGTGTAAGAGTTCTTGGATGTCGTCAAGGTTTCTGAGAAGGCCCCTGACGTTCAATTGTGTAATTTGAGTGTTCATGGTGAATGTAAAATAGTGCTGTGTGTACGAAAAGCGAGTGGCTGTTTAGACAGGGAGTTTGAATTCATTTAACAGGGCCGTCAGCAGGCCCTGTTATCTGCTTTTTTTGTTTTCTCGGCGCGCTCCAAGGAGCCACGCCGCTCTTTCAGCACCAAGGGTACCGACGTATCCATTGCCTCCTCGGAGGCACTGGATGCCTGCACGTGCGGGCTGTTAGTTCGAATTTCGGGCCTCGCCTGGTGAGGTGAGGCCTTGAGACCCGAAGATTCTGGAGTCTCCGGTCTCTGTTTGGGAGTAGGCGGTGTAGCCTGGGCTACAGCCGCCTTGGGGGCAGGTGCCACAACCACCGGCTCGGTATGCGCGGGCCGAAGGAGTGGCGAGGGCTAGTGCGGCGGTGGCCCCTGACGCGCCGCATCAGCGTACGTAGGTCCGTAGAATGGAGCGACTCTTCGCCGTGCTTCCTTGAATGAAATGTTCTGCTACACCTTCAACGTAATTATTTCTTTTTCTTTTTTCCAGTATATGCAGGAGCGTGAATATGCGGCATGGTTTCCTTCGCAGTTTACACAGTGTGGCGGTTGTTTGCAGTTCTAAGACACGTGGCCTAGAACTCCACATTGTGCACAAGTCTGGCGACCACGACAGGTTTTAGAGCCATGGCCATACTTCTGGCATTGGAAGCAACGTCGAGGGTTTGGTATGTACGGCCTGATAGATGTCTTCGTGTACCCTGTTTGAATGGATTCCGGTAGTTTACTGGATGCAAACTTTACATTAAGTGTTTTGTCGGTGTTTCCTTATTATCTCTTCTGATGATGATTCTCTGTACATTAGAGACATTTTGGCTCTTCCACCCTTCCAAAAGTTCAGTCTCAGTCAGGTCAGGTAAGTCCATGTCAGATACCACTCCGCGAGTTGTGTTCATTGATCTATGTGGTGTTACGGTTATTGGTATGCCACCGAAATCTGAAAGACGGTCTAGCTTTTCAAATTGTTCTTTGTCACGGATTCCGAGGAAAAGGTCTCCACTAGCCATTTTGGTTACCTTGTATCCTGTGCCAAGTGTTTCGGTAAGACATCTAGCAACTAGGAAAGGAGAGACAGTCCTGGCTTGCTTTTCAGTTTTTTCACATTGGATAACATGAAGGTGAGGATATGTTTCTTTTGGCTGGTTGAAAAAATTTCTATCATCGGTGCGTACTCGCTTTAAGCCGGTACGATCAGACAGTAGGGAAAATGCTCTATGCATGCCTGTCTTATTTTTGTTCAGCAGCATGCTGCCACCCACAACAGAGCCCAACGAGGGGGCGCTACAAGTTTGTAGATGCTGAAACGTGCAGACGCCAGCCGTACAACGCCACTATAACCTAATGCGCCTAGACCAAGGTAGGCTATTATCACAGGGTTAACCCTAGCCGCCAGGAAGTTTGGAAGTAAACGGAAGAGAGTACAAGACAGGACAGATAAATAGTAAGAGATAAAGACGAAGATGTAGGGAGAGAGAGATAGGAGAAGGCGACTGCCGATTTCCCCTGGGTGGGTCAGCCCAGGGGTGCCGTCTACGTGAAGCCGGGGCCAAAGGGGTGTGTTGCCTCTGCCGGGGGGCCTTAACGGTCCAATCACCCAGCGTTGGCTCAACCCCCAGGATTCTTTTTCCCTGGACAAGGCAAAGCCACGCACGGCTAGGCGTGCGTGGCTTTGCCTTGTCCGGGGAAAAGGAATCCCCCGTTAGCTCGGGTCCGTGGTGTCGCTACACACTAAACGCCGACTTGCGCAGGCGCCCCTGCGGGCGGAAAGTGCACCATTATGAAGTACAAGTGCTTTGAGATCTGCGTGGTCACTTTTCCGACTGCTCGGCACACTGTAGACTGCAGAATGTGGACGAGGTCCTCGGTCACTGTTTGAAATGTCCCAGCGCCGTAAAATCTCAATGCCATCAACAGCTGCAGCATAGGAGGCACAGGCAGACCTCGATTGTCCCGGCTTTCTTGGAGCGGCAGCGTAGACAGAAGCTGCTGCACTGCATGTTTCGTGAACAGGTAGCGAGCGTGGAAATGTACCTCGTTATACAGCTCCATAGGATTTCCTCGGTCACGAAGGGCGGGTCGTGGAATCTTCGGCAGGCAATGTGCCTCCAAAAACAAGTTGACCTTCGTACCGCACATCAAGTATTTAAAAACAAAATGTTAAAAAGCCATGAATGTTATAAAAGCGTTGTCACGTACTACTTGGGGCAGTGATAGGCAATGTCTCATGAATCTGTATTGAAGCCTCATTCGAACCCGCTCAGATTATGGGGCCGTTGTTTATCAGTCTGCAACTCAAAGTGCTTTGAAGATGCTGGACCCCGTGCACCATTTGGGCATCCGCCTTTCTACGGGTGCTTTTCGCACCAGCCCTGTAGAAAGCCTTTACGTTGAGTGAAATGAATGGTCGCTTCCTCTGCAGAGAACGTACATGTCCTTTGTATATTTTCTTAAGGTTAAAGCAGACAAGAAGCACCCCTCATACTCTACAATTAATGATCTGTCGAGGTCCATTCTGTTTCAAAACAGGCCTTCGATGAGGCAGCTCTTCTCAGTTCGCCTGAAGGGTCTAGCTGAAGAAACTGGAGTGTGACTTGAACACAGTTTAATGGCTCCTAAAGCATGCCCGCCACCGTGGCAGTGGCAGACTATAGACTGCGATGTGTCTTTCCTAGAAGTTACAAAAACATGCGCCTATTGCCCATATCCGAACATACTTCCTGGAGTTTGAACACAAATACACACGTCCTGAGTTCTTTACAGATGCCTCCAAGTCTAACTCCTCTGTGTCCTACGCTGCTGTCGGCCCATCCTTTTCGGATGCTGGCCCTCTACATCCAGGCACAAGTATCTTCACAGCGGAAGTTTATGCGATACTTGTGGCGGCTAAACACATCAAAGAGTTTCAAATACAAAAAGCTGTAGTATATACAGACTCCCTCAGTGTAGTAACGGCTCTGCACAGTCTTAAAAAACAAAAAAACCCGGTCCTTGTCTCATTTTACTCCATTTTGTGCACACTCTACACACTCAAACAACATGTTTTAGTGCGCTGGGTGCCAGTGCACCGTGAGATCCAAGGCAACAATGAGGGCGGACGAGCTCGCTGCATCCGTCCGCAAAAGCACTGCCCCTACACCCATAATAATCCCGGCCCTTGATCTTAAGCCGTCTCTCAAACGAAACCTCAGAGACAACTGGCAGAGCAAGTTGGATACACACACACAAAACAAACTACACATTATTAAGCCACACCTTGGTAATTGCCTGCCAGTGTCAAAATCGCGTCATACAGAGGTAATACTAACGAGACTCAGGATAGGATACGCATACACGACACACAAATATCTTTTGTCCGGTGGCGATCCACCATTGTGTGACAGATGTGGTGAAGCATTAACAGTCCTTCACATGTTATGTCAGTGCAAACACTTAGAAACTCTAAGAAAACAGCATTTTCCATTACCCTACCGACAACATATACCTTTACACCCTGCAATGTTCGTTGGTAGGGAACTGCTTTTTAGTCATAAATCATTGTTAGCGTTTTTAAAAGAAATTCATATTTTTCATATCATATATCCGGGCATTCCGTAGCACGACCTTTCCAGAGAGGTGTTTGCTGCGAAGGCTACAGAGGAAAGTACTTGCCTCACGGCCCTTGGACGCAAGGGTATGAACGAGTGAGGTACTTGTGCTAATGCCATACATGTCCACCATCGTTTTTTATTATCACCAACTTTTGTCGCCTAATCACACCACACACACCTTTAACGGCATGGTCATGATTTTATTACTTGTATGTTTTTACCCGCCTTACTGCGAGGAATTTTATGGCCCTTATACAGCCGCTAATCACAATCATTGTCCACATTTCTTGTCCCATGAACTGGCGCTCTTTGGCAATCAAATGGCCTTTGCGCCAAAAAACACCATATATCATCATCAATGTGCCTCAAAAAACAGATCCATGGCGTGGCATGTGAACTCAAAAGCGGCCAACCTCCGCTCGACGTCCGTACGAGAGGTGGCCATGTTGGAATAACGCATGAAGTCGCTTTCAAGCTGCAGCTGACTTGAAACTTCAAGTCGTCCGCAAGTTCGAGAACGATTTATGGAGACCGGCAAGACTGTCTTGAGTCAAGAACGAGTCAAGTACGAGTCAAGTAACATCTATGGATTCGGGGGTAAAGGTCACAATTAATGCGATGGCGGTACGCTAGGTAACTGTTGAGTGATTGACTTATATGATGTTACGCGCAGGGGCGCCTGTGCAAGTAGGCGCTTGGTGTGTAGCGACACCACGGACCCGAGCTAACGGGGGCGTTTCGGCTCCCTCCCACGCCTAGCCGTGCATGGCTTTGCCGTGTCTGGGGAAAAGGGGATCCTGGGGGTTGAGCCAATGCTGGGTGATTGGACCTTTAAGGCCCCCCGGCAGAGGCAACACACCCCTTTGGCCCCGGCTTCACGTAGACGGCACCCCTGGGCTGACCTACCCAAGGGAAACCGGCAGTCGCCTTTTCCCGGTCTCTTCCTCTCTTCATCTTCGTCTTTCCCTCTTTCTTTCAATCTTTCCTGCCCCGCAGGGCGCCTGATAAAGCAGGCGTTTGGTGTGTAGCGACACCACGGACCCGAGCTAACGGGGGAGTTTCTACTCCCTCCCACGCCTAGCCGTGCGTGGCTTTGCCGTGTCCGGGGAAAAGGGAATCCTGGGGGTTGAGCTGACGCTGGGTGATTGGACCTTTAAGGCCCCCCGGCAGAGGCAAGACACCCCTTTGGCCCCGGCTTCACGTAGACGGCACCCCTGGGCTGACCCACCCAGGGGAAATTGGCAGTCGCCTTTTCCTATCCATCTCTCCCTACATCTTCGTCTTTATCTCTTACTATTTATCTGTCCTGTCTTCTACTCTCTTCCGTTCACTTCCAAACTTCCTGGCGGCTAGGGTTAACCCTGTGCAAATAGCCTTCCTTGGTCTAGGCGCATTGGGTTATAGTGGCGTTGTTTCAGAAGGACCAGAGAGACCGCATAACCGATACGTCTTCGGTTTATTGTTGACAGAACAAAAAAAAATGTGCAGAGCGTGACCCTGGCTGCTTCTTCTTCCTCGCCTCCGAGCTCCATCTTCAAATCTGTTTTCTACATCTTCCCGCCGGCCAGATTCAACCGAAGCAACCTTCGAGAGAATACAACAGTTGAATCGGCCTCTTGACTAATTTTCCTTCAGGTGTACGAAGCAAGCATGTTCTCACTAGTCCATCCTTGCCTGGAAAAATCTTTTCGATCTTGCAGAGTTTCCACCGAGTTCTTTTCGCGCTTCTCCAAGCAGAAGTACATCTCCTTCTTGTACATTTGCGTGACGCTCTGTTTTTCTGCTGGCACACTTAAGCTCCCTCAGGTACTCCTTTTTCCATCTGGTCCCCCATGTCTCATTGCCTGTTTTCTTGCACTCCAGTAATTCAGCAAACTGTATTCTCCGAGTCTGTTTTCTTCCTGCTTGGTCATTGCTTGCCTGCCTCCTATAACGTCCGCCGGTGTGATGGGTTGTGGCTCGTTAGGATCGTCATACACATAAGTGAGAGGCCGGTTGTTAAGTACTCCTTCTGCTTCAACAACCACAGTCCGTAGTTCTTCTTCATCCAAAAGTCGAGCACCTATAGTTTTTGCCATGGATGTCTTAAAGCTTCTGATCAGTCTTTCATAAAATCCTCCCCACCATGGAGCTAACTCTACAATAAACTTCCAATTTATTTTCAGGTTACTGGTATACTGTTGAACCCTTTCATCTTCCATCTTTAATATCTTGTTCATCTCTTTCTCAGATTTTTTGAATGCTCTTGCATTATCACTGTAAATAGTTGTACACAATCCTCTTCTAGCTACGAATCTTCGGAATGCTTGTATAAACGCTTCTGATGACATCCTCTTGACCAACTCCAGTTGTATGGCTCTTGTTACTGCACACGTAAATATCACAATGTAAAACTTTGTAACTTTTCCGCCTTTCTCCTCTCGAGAATTTAGCGGTCCAGCAAAGTCTATACCAACAGTGTCGAATGGCCTCGTCTGTGTAATCCTGTCAGCTGGTAGAAGTGGAATTTCTTGTGCCATTGGTCTAGAATTGAATCTCCTACATGTGATGCATTTCTTTATCACATATTTCACCATTTGTCGGGCACGCAGAATCCAAAACTTCGTTCTTAGATGTGTCAATGTTGCCGCAACGCCACCGTGCATTGTTACTTGATGCGCGTTTAGAACTAGGAGTTCTGAAAAGTGACTTTCTCTTGGTAAAATAATAGGATGCTTCTCATCAAAGCTCAAATCACTCCACTGAAGCCTCCCTTTTACTCTCAGGACACCTTGATCATCTTCGAAGATGTTCGTGCCGTACAGATTCATGTTGTCATATATTCGTGTCACTGCATTTTGTAGCGTTTTCTGCTCCTGCTTTATCAGCACAAACTCTGCCTTGTCCAATTCTTCTCCTGTCAGCGAACCTGTTTTCCTTTCTTTTCGTCGGTTTCCTATATAACGCATCACCCACGCGGTAACTCGTAACGCTTTCTTGTATGATCCAAATCTGCTCACATCAATTATCTTTTCTTCACTCGTGGTGGTAGTTAAGCATGCCACTGTCTTTTCTTCGTCTTTGTTGTCATCACTGTCCGATTCATGCGTGATGTCATAATCAGGGCTTTGTTTTTCATTCTTGACCCACGTGGGGCCTTTCCACCATAATTCACTGTCCAGCAAACGTTTCATCTTCATCCCCCTTGTCATAAAATCCGCAGGATTTTCATCACTTTTAACATAACCCCATTGACTCTCATTGGACTTGCTCTTAATTTCTGCTGCGCGGTTGCGAACAAACAGATCTTTCGTCTTGTTTGACTTTATCCAGCATAACACAATTTGAGAGTCAGTCCAGAATTTCACATTCCTCAATTTCCTGATGAAATTCTCGGTTATATGACTGGCCAATCTGACTGATATTGTGGCCGCCAACAACTCCAATCTTGCTAGTGTGATCTTTTTGATTGGAGCGACTCTACCCTTTGCAATGATTAAATTTGCTTCATTGCTTCCATCGGAGTATTCTGTTACAATGTATGCTACTGCTCCATATGCCATTGGACTC